GCAAGAGCCTCAGCGCCTTTCTTGAGACCCAGGGAAAGTGGAGAAAATTCCACCAACATACACCTGGAGCAAGGTGGCAGTCACTCAGGTAGCTTTAGACCCTCTCTGCTCCTCCAAGCCCTGCTCTCTGGATTTCTCTCCTCACGTCACTTCTTTCCTATACTGGGCAGGCTATTTTCTGTGGTTTCTATAACCTTTTCTTTCTTAAACTCTGTTGAAAGACAACAATGGAACAGATAAGATAGATTGGTTCTTGAGGGGAAAAAAAAGAATCTCAGCTGTTTTTCTCAACAATCCATTTTCCTCACTTCTGAAAACTGATTGTTATTCCAAAGGAAAGCTCTTCGCTTATGTATGAGTATTTTTGTAATTTAAGTTAATCAAAAAATCTCTAAGCTTTTCTTTCACATCTTAGAACTGAAGAGAACTCCAGTTTCAGCTCAGACACACAAAGAGCTTGGAAGAAGTCACCCCTCTTGCCTTTACAATAAGAGCTGGACAAGCGGAAAATCAATGACTTTCCTTTACTTATTGGAGAACTGAGGTTTCAGGGCAAACCGCTTACCCAGTATCTGGAAACACAGGCAAAACAGAGAGATGCTACATTTGGAGCAGAAGTCAACAGATGCCAGAAATATAGAATCATTTATCTGACTAGTAATTTTGGGCAAATTACTAGAAGCTGTGGGCCCAGAGTGAGACACTCCTGGGGCTGTAAACCATGAGGGAGCTTTCATGCTTTCCTGGGCTTGCTTCCAGTAACCTCATCAAATGCTCACGGTAAGGATCCAAAAAGCTTTCCCATGTGGACCTGGCAGGGAGAGGGAAAGAAAAGCCATTGTTATATCTCCCTGATTCTTCTCCCTAACAAAGGGGGAAAGACGTGGCTGGAAGAAAACCCTGAAAACTTATCCCAGCTAGAGGAGGAGGAGGCTGCCTGCTGTACTCCTCTGCAGTCTTTCTGTCACGTCTACAGGAAATGATAATAACAAAAAATCCAGTGTGAACAGGGTCAAGATTTCAAGGAAATACAAAGGGATGCTTCAGCTAGGGAAGGAGATAAAGGGATGTAGATAAAGAGGAAAAACAATATTCATGGACAAAGGATAGAAACATCTGTGAAGGTCACTGCCCTGAGATACTGCTGTTGTTCAGTCCCTAAGTTGGGTCTAACTCTGTGACCCCATGGACTGCAGCCCACCAGACTCCTCTATCCTCCTCTATTCCCCAGAGTTTCCTCAAATTCATATCGACTGAGTCAGTGATGCTATCCAACTATCTCATCCTCTGCTGCCCCCTTCCTCTTTTTGCCTTCAATCTTTCCCAGAATTGGGATCTTTTCTTGTGACATAGGTCCTCTGAAAGACTGAGACTTTATCAAATTGTAGAACACACACACTCCCTTCTCCCCAACACCTTACCACACTACCAGTGGCTCCAGAAAAACAGCGCACCATAGCTAAAAGAGCTGCAAGATACACTCTGAAGAGGAATACTTAGGGAAGACCAAGTCAAGACAAGAGACAAAGACAAGGACACTAGAAGAACTAAAAGCTTCTTGTACCTGTGGCTACAACAAACATTAAACCAACCAACCTCCCAGTCAGACTAACATAAACGCTGACACCAAAGGCAAATATATCACAGCTTTTATTACCTGATACATGTCCGGCTTTTAACAAAATGTTAGAAAGCATGTCAAAAGGCAAAAAAGAAAAAAGAACAGTCTGTGGAGATAAATCATGCCTCCAAACGAGATTAAGATGTGACACAGATGTAGTTAACAAACAAGGAATTTAAGTAAGTGTTAATAATATATTAAGGGCTCTAATGGAAAAAGTTGAAACCATGCAAGAACAGCTGAGTAATGTAAGTAGAGAGATGGAAACTCTAAGAAAAGAGTCAAAAGGAAATGCTAGAAATCAAAGTCACTGACAGGAACAATGCCTTCCATGGGCTCATCAGTAAACCTGCTGATTCTTTCTTTAGAATCAGAATTCTTCTGAAGAAACAATCAGCAAACTTGAAGGTCAGCTTAAACTTTCCTCTCTGAAATGCAAAGAGAAAAAGAACTAAAAAGCAAACAAAAAATGAAAACACCCACACACAAAAGCAGAACATTCCAGAACTATAAGGAATAACATAACCAGACATAAAAAAGATAACTAAAATACTAGCAGGAGAAGGTAAAGATAGGATAAAAGGAATATCTGCAGTAATAATGGATGAGAAGTTTCCAAATTTAATGACAGACACCAACCCTCACATTCAGAAGGGTGAAAAAAACACCAAGCAAGAAAAATATTAAAAACTCATACGTAGGCAGGCATATCATATTCAAACTACAAAAAACTAATATAGGGAGAAAATATTAAAGGAAGCCAGAGGACAAAAACAAACAGAAACACAAAACCAAAACATCTTACTTAGAGACATCAAGTATAAGAGCTTGATCAAATTTCTCAGAAACCACACAAGCAAGATAATGGAGAAAAATCTTGAGTATTAAAAGAAAAAAAAAAATCTGGTAAGTCTATATCTAGGGAAATTATCCTTTAAACATAAAGGAGGAAGAGATTTTATCAGAAAAACAAAAACTGGGTGAATTCATTATCAGTAGTCATGCCTTTCAAGAAATGTTAAGTTTTTCAGATAAGGAAAATGATGCAGGTCAGAAACTTATACATGAAGCAAGAAAAGTGTCAGAGAAGGAATAAATGAGGTGAAATTATGTATGTGTGTATCTTTTATTTTTAAAAACAAAAACAAGAAGTAAAGTACTGTTTACAAGAAATCCACTTTAAACAAAGGATCAGATAGGTTAAAAGTAAACAGATGGAGAAAGATACACCACACTAACCTTAACCAAAAGAAAGTTAAAGTATACTCAGCCATGAAAAGGAATGAAATAGTGCCATGTGCAGAGACGTGGATGGACCTAGCGACTGTCCAACAGAGTGAAGTGAGTCAGAAAAAAAAAGAATTGTATAATATCGTTTACATGTGGAATCCAGAAAAATGGTGCACATGAAGTTTCTTGCAAAATAGAAGGAAGATTCACACTTATGGATACCAAAGAGGGAAGCTGGGGGGATGGGATGAACTGGGAGACTGGGGCTGACAATGTACATGCCTATGCATAAAATATACAGCTAAGGAGAACCTATTGTAAGCACAGGGAACTCTAGTCAATGCTCTGTGGTGACTTAAATGGGAAGGAAACTAAGAAAAGGGGCTATGTACGTATACAACTGATTCACTTTGCTTCCGCAGGAACTAACACAACATTGTAAAGCAACTATACTCCAATAAAAATTTTTGCAAAAGAAAGCTGAAGATGTCTTATGAGTTTGAGACAAAGCAGACTTTGGAAAAAAGAAAAAAGATTATCAAGGACAAAACTGGAGTTTATATGAAGAGGTTAATTCCACAAAAAGACATAAAATGCTAAATGTGTATGAATCTAAAAAGTATCAAGATACAGCAGGTTAAATACCAATAGAACTGAAGGTAAAAAATACACATGTTATTATAGATGGAGACTTAAACTAGAAGTATGTTCCAGACCACAGAGGACAGAAACCAGGGGGTCAAAAGTCAAAACCATTACTGCAGAAGTCATCTGTAAAAGTAAGCAAAAGATTAAATTTAACACATCATGAATTAATTTAAACTCACAGGTCCATAGGAATTTATGTGATGACCCTGTAAAATTCAGGAAAAATTCTAAAGCATTTGTAATAATGGATTTTAGAGGCCTATTTGCTCTATTAAGACTTCAGTACATACAGAACAAATATTTTATTTGGTTTAGGTTGGTTTCCCTAATACCTAGCAAAGTTTTTGACTTGAATAGTTGGTAAACATCTACTGAATGTCTAAAGCTGACTCTTACTAATAAATTATGTTCATCAATATTTAACTATACAAGTGAGTTACTGTTTCATTAAAAATACAAAGTCCCAGTTGGGTTTCTTTTACAATGGAAGATTTTAGCTTTACAGGCATCCTCCAATATTATCAAAACCACCACCTGGTTTAATAACACAGTGAAAACAATTATAGTGAATGCATGAATTGTTCACAGGGTTAAGGTTCCACATTGTTTGTCTATTAATTAACTCTGCTAATTTATTCACTGGAAATGATTCACAAATTAGTAATGCAAAGTAAATGATACATATAGAATACAGAAATTGAGAAGTAGAGTTGCAAAAAGATTTAAAATACATGTAAACATATGTACATTAAAGAAATATCACTCTTAATGAACACACAAATTTTAAAATGCTGGAATTCTGTCAACTTACATTGTTTATTAGGGCACAGTTCAATCATTTATATCACTAAAATAAGCAAACAAAATACAACTATGGAAGGCATACATTTAGACAAATCATAGGCTCTAAAGATGAAAGACATGGAACAAACCTGACATTTTATTGAATTTTTGATATGTGTGATTAAAATAACAACTGAAGAGGAAATATATTATTTACTCTGTCACTACTAAATTATGAAATTTAGCAACCTTCTTCAATTCATTCTATTTGGCTGGGTTAAGGAAGGAAAATTTTGAAATTTCAGTCACTGCCATAAAACTCTGAAGATGAGTATCATATCTTTATGAAAAATTATTTTGCAGTGAGGAATACCTATTTATTATAAATTGCCAAGCTTCTTCAGATAACAAATGATTTTCACTTTACTATTCAGGGCATGCCCCATATATACTCAATAGGTATAAATCTGATGGTCTAAGATAGGGCGCATGTGAACAATTACTTGTTGAATAAAATGCACAGATATTCTTCTTCTCCTATCAAATAATTCTTTAAAGCTTCTTCCAAATGTCATTATCTGACTTCTTAAATTCAGTTTCACTCAAATTTTCAAACAAAGCGATGAGAGAACGTAAAGTACCTCTTTATAGGCTTGCAAACACTTGGTATTCATTTTCTGAGTCAGACAGCAGAACAGGAAATAGCATAATCACTTACCTGACATGCATTATAAAGAAGTTGGTGTTCCAGTTTTTTAATCCCCAAAATCTGCTGAAACATTTCATAGAGTTGCTCCTTGCTCAGAATAAGTTCAGACACGGCGCTTAGGGCCATTCTGTTCGGTGGTTTACACAAGTCCTCTTCACCCCTGGAAATGGCGTCATACTTGGCTATCCAGGAACTCAGCACTGTCTCTTTGCTCAAGCCATCAATTTCTGGCAAACTCCGCACACGTTTCTCTATGTTTTTCTTAAATACCTCCCTGAAGTCATTAGCAGAACATCCTCCACTCTGAACCATTCTGGCCACTCGATCACTCTTCAGAAAAACCTGAAAGCAAAACAAAAAAAAATAAATTAAAAAAAAAAAACTCACTTACAATTAGGTAGGGCCACTAACACCAACTGCCTTTCAGCGATCCAAGAGTTATGACACCAAACATTCTTCAGTGGTTCAAATGTTTTGTAAAACATGCTAACTACTGACAAAATGGAGGCTCCAAATCATCTCTCTTAAGATGCAGAAATATTTAGGAGAAAAAACAATGAGTTTTGAGGACCTCCTAAGATGATCCGTCCTTGACCTACAGACTCCCCACATGAAGGTCATGGGGGGACCTGAAGGTCATGTGGGGGGATCTCTGCAACTGATACCTTAAGGCTAACAGTGTGGTAAGTCTTGTATCTAAGTCAGTATCCTCCGGGTACAATCATTAATCACAACTCCTGCACAGCTCAGGGTGGGGTACACCTGTTCCCATCCATGACTTCACCAGATCCCCAACTTCTCATACACTTCTCACAGCTGCAAAGAATCCATGATGGAAAAGCAAAATCTAAGAAACTTCTAGCTGTCCACGAATGCCAGATAAGAAATAAAATACACACAATGACAACTAGGGAGAGAGACACTTGTGAAATGGGTAGGAAGAGATGGATGACTAGCAGTAAGGTCATCCTGTATGGTAGACATCAGACTTGGCTCAAATCTCTCCTTTCTTCTAAGCAAAGACCCAACTATCAACAAACATCAGTCGGGATTCATGAAACATTGATTCTGTCATTAATATTTCTATGAATCCTCTATAGGTCACATGAGACTGATTTTATTCCTGTTTTCTTTCTGTAACAACAAAACATTCTTCCAAAGAGCTTGCAGGAGTATTTAACATAGCCCCCATGAGTTCCATCTGTTGCTGAGACTTCTGGAAGACAAGTTAATATCAACCGTTTTCCTAAGAACTGGCTCAGGATACCGAGGTGCTCCTGAATCAAGACTCCACTCCCTGTTCTCTGCTACTACCAAGTCTGTCTGCATGCGGGCCAGCAGCACGCATGGTCAATGCAAAGCAGACCCAATGACTGCCATCTGAGCTACCATGTCCTAAACCTTGTCCCCACTTGATTTCTCCCTTTTTCAGACCATTCATATAAAATGCTATTTCCTATCTTTGTTCATTGGCCAGGGGAGATTCCTGACTTGAATATTTTGGTTGGCTAACTGACTAACTTATGACAGAAAGTGAAGAGGAACTAAAGAGCACACCTTGGTAAGGGTGAAAAAGAAGAGTGAAAAAGCTGGCTTAAAACTCAATATTCAAAACACTAAGATCAGGGCATCCGGTCCCAACACTTCATGGCAAATAGACAGGAAAAAAGTGGAAATAGTGACAGACTTTATTTTCTTGGGCTCCAAAATCACTGCAGACACTGACTGCAGCCATGAAATTAAAAGAAGCTTGCTCCTTGGAAGTAAAGCTATGACTAAACTAGACAGCATATTAAAAGCAGAGACATTACTTTGCCAACAAAGGTCTGTCTAGTCAAAGCTATGGTTTTTCCAGTAGTCATGTATGGATGTGAGAGTTGGATCATAAAGAAGGCTGAGTGCCAAAGAACTGATGTTTTTGAACTGCGGTATTAGAGAAGACTCTTGAGAGTCCCTTGGACTTCAAGGAGATCAAACCAGTCAATCCTAAAGGAAAACAATCCTGAATATTCATCAGAAGGACTGATGCTGAAGCTGAAACTCCAATACTTTGGCCACCTGATGTTCAGAGCCAACTCTTCAGAACAGATGCTGACGTTGGGAAAGATTGATGGCAGGAAGAGAAGTGGACAACAGAAGACGAGATGGTTGGATGGAATGGACTCAATGGACCTGAGTTTGAGCAAACTCTGGGAGATGATGAAGGACAGGGAAACCTGGCATGCTGCAGTCCATGGAGTCGCAAAGAGTTGGACATTACTGAGCAACTGAACAAGAACTTATAATGGTTGTGACTTTCATAGCAGGCAAACATATGACACATATACTCAATATTTCCTTTTCTTTTTTAACCAGCTATAATTCAATTATAGTTAATTCATAAGTCATAGGTATAAGAAGAGTTTATTTAGATCAAGGAAAATAAAATGAAGATACTTAATAGTATATTTTACCTAAAAATGCCTTTAACTATTATACCTCTGAATACACCGGGTGTCTCCATCTCTTTTCTCCTCCTCATCTAAATGCACTGCCAGTGACAACTCACTGCTTTCCAGTCTGGCCTTCCATGGCCCTGCCTCTGGCAGCTGGCACAATTTTAGAGGGTGCTGGAGGGACACTGGAGGAAGAGGGCTCTAGTTCTTAAGTCTTTTCGTCTACCTACAGGCACATGGTACCATCCCTGGGGCAGCCTCTCTGCAGACCCAAGGCTGGCTGAGAGAGGCACCCTCCCACTGGCAGGTTCCTGGGCAGCTGTGTGGTGTGGCACTGCAGAAGGCAGACTCCCGTGGGTCCCACTGGTACAAGACGGCGATGAATGTCTCTGTAGGACGCACCACATCTTCTCCAGTGAGAGGTGGCACCCAGCCTTTGGGCTGAAGGGAATGGGACCCTCCTCCAGACCTCTTGCTTCCCTGGGAGCTCTGCTACTCCTATATGCTTGTATTTTCCTTGCCCACCGTAGCAAATCTCTCATTGTTTATAATACATCTTCCTGTTCAATTAGTGTGTGGTTTCTGTCTCCAGATTGCACCATGATACAGAAATACTGAAATGTTACATGGAAGACTACTTCTAAGGAGAAGATATTTGAAAAAGAAGCAATTTTTTAAAATGTAGTAATCATATAAAGCTGGAATGGCAAGATATTTTTAAAGTACAACATAAATACCTTATAACTGGCTTCAGAAAAACATTTAATTACTTTGATATCTAATGCTTTTAGCTGGCAGGGGTTCCAGGTTTTTTTTTTTCCCAGTCTCTTCTGTTTAACAGTTAGTACTAAATTCTACCAAGTCACCAAACAGTGTTTCTGAAGCAAGAGCACTGATGAACTTAGGTTTATAGAGTCTTAATTTCCCCTATAAAACCATACCTACACTCATACTGACTCAGTCCAATTTCATGTTACTGAATCAACATTTCCTAAGTGGTAACAATGTGTCAGGCACTTTGCTAAGAGTTGGGGACACAAAGACAAGCAAACCAAAGACCTTGCTCTCAAACAGCTCTTACCACCTGAGAGACAGGACACGCAGAAACCTAGAGGACTAAAGCTATGAGGAGGGAGGGAAAGAAAAGCAAGTTATGAACCCTGTTACCTGGGGGGCAAGGTTGGGGAGGAGGGAAAAACAGGACAGAGACAAAGGGCCTGTGATCTGAATGACCTGGGGGTTGAGTAAGGAGAAAAGGGAGAAGAAAATACATTTCAGAAAAATAAAAGATAAAAAGCAAAAAAGTATAAAATCACAAGACCTTTTGAGGGAAACGTAAGAATTTTTATACTTCAGGAACGTTCAATATAAGGGTGGAGGGAGCAAAAGTTGTGCCAACCAGACCAACAGAGACCAGATGGCTGAACGCAGTTTGTGCCAAGCCAGGAATCTGAGCTCTGCTGGAGGGTCAGGATGATGGCTGGGTAACCTCATTGCTGAAACACTGAGAAGTACAGTTTAGACAAATAGCGGGTGGTGACAATCAGCCAGAACAGAGATTGGGATCGGCTACCCAAGAGCACAGGAGACCAGGCAAAAAGCACTAAGGCCTTGATCTAAGGCAAGCATCATGGGCCAGAGAGAGGGGCAGAAGGGAGACAATTAACACATCGTGATGAGTTCCAGGACGTGTAAAGGCATGGAAAACATGACGATTCAGTTTTTACTGGGGTGTCTGGATTCCACCAGCCAGACAATTAAAGAATACAGGCAGAACAACATGTGGAGGGGAGGGGTTGCAAATGGTGGTGGGTAGATTGGGTGGGGCATGGTCACCGATTATTAGTTTAGTTTTGATAATGTCCAGCTTTGAAAACCAAATAAAACAGTACCAGAGTATGGAACAACACTCTCTGAAATGCCTACATTTAGTAAGTTGGCAGAAGAATGGGATCCAGGGGGAGGCGGGTAGTGTCACAGAAAAAGACGGAAAAAAAAAAAATGACACATTAGCAGCCAGGAGAGGAGACAGTCCTGAGAGAGAGAGAATCAAGTACCACAAAGACTGGCAGAGGTTTGGCTCTACCACCGTCAGGTCACCTGTGGCAAAGAAGACAGATAAACAGTAGGGAGTGATCTGCAGCAGGAGACAACACCTTGTATCCACGTTAAGACAGCAAATATAAACTGTCCTTCTAGAAAACGTGGGTGAAAAGGAAAATGAGAGGAAGGGGAAAAGCTGAAACTGGGAAATGACATGTAGGTAAGTGAGGGAAACCAATCAGGAAACAAGGGCGGTGTGAGGTCTGGACGACAGAGGACAGTGAAGTACGTCACTTGTGAGACTAGTATATGGAAGCCTACCATGGGCTCTCCCATCCTTGCCCAGGGTGGGGGTTGGGGGTGGATGTAAGCTCCTCTGAGGCAAGGAACTGAGGTTCTCCGTCTAACAGTCCTCTGCAAGCAGCCTAGAACCAAGGGAGTGGGCTGGAAAATGAATTCTTAAGGCCAGTTGAGCCACAGGATAAGTGTGATCTCACTGGACAGCTTGATGGCACCTTCACGAGAGACTCATGAGCTCTCCTTACACATCCCACTGACACCCTTAACAAACTTTGAATGGGATTCATGACTTTTCCCATTATTTGCTCACCCTCTGCCCAGTCTGCTTCAGTGAGTTATCAGTACCTCCCCCCTGCTTCTGGAGAGACCTGGAAACCATTCTTAACTCCACCATCTCCTCCATGCTTATTTCCCAACATACACCTTCTCACTGAACCCTGCTGATCCTACCCACTCCCAAATCCCTCTAAAATCCCTCCTCACCTCTTTATGCCCCTCACTGAGACTATGAGTAGCTGCCTCTTACTTGGCCTTCCTGCCTTGGAAATTTTCCTGACAGCCACT